TTCTGCGCGCCTTCTGCAGCACAAGCAGGCAAGCCGATAGCCTGGCGCCTACCTTACCCTACAACCTAACCATAAAATACCACGTTGAATTTTATGGCAATAATTACAGCTACTTCTCTGAAATAAAAATAAACAAACTGTATTCATCCTGTGTCGTCATCTTCACCATAAGTCGGCATCCTTCGACAATTCTTTCCAATCCAGTATGGATCGTATTCTCCGTTGTGGCATGATTTTCATGTGTCAATGCCACCATTCTTCAATGTATTCATATAATTAATTCAGTAATCAATCTTTCACTGCTCAATATCTCAACGAAATATACGCCTTCTCATCTTTCAACACACTTAAGTCACGATTTATTATGCCAACACTACGAAAAAAGATAGAAGATAAACAGAACAACACTATTTCTACCAGTAAAAGAGAAAAATGCTTACATAAGGAGACTCTATAAGGTATTGCATACACAAACATAACTGAGAAAAAAGTGTTAGACACAGCGCAGGTTGGCGATTGCTGGGAACAAAGAGGAGAGCGAGAATGGGAATATGAGGAAGAGGAGCGGCAATATGACCTCGTACTCGAAGCTGATTTTCCTGTCTTTGATTAATCACGTCTGATGTACGAGATCTTAAGCAGCAGTAACAAGCAACAAAGTGACAGAAACAAAACTAGAAACTACATGAACCGGATAGGGAGTGATAATTACCGGGATGATAAAATAAGTAAACACCAAACACCTTTGAAACGGGCTCTATAAAGAACAGAATACTATACAGGGAACTTTACGGGAAAATGAGGTAGAGAGTACTAAAAGAGTAGAAAAATCGCCGTCTTCTTCACTCGATGACGCCACCTCCTCTTAGGCATCGCCCTCTCCCACCTGCGCCTTTGCCGCTGGCGCTGCCAAATCCTCGATCACATCATCGAGTAGATGACGGAACTTGTCCAATGCAGACTGAGGGATTGTTATCGATGTACGATAGCCGGTTGGCTGCTTCACCTAAGAAAAACACCAACATACAGATTAAAAAAGTAAAAATCGATAGAGCGGAGAAACTAACCTCAGTCACGCGAACGAATGTTCCGCGATCGTTCTTTCCTACATCGAAGTAGAAGGTCTTGTTATTATCCGCGGTTAACTGCTTGGTCTTGCTCGCATCCTGAAGCATTTATCCAGCTTTACGGAAGTAAATGGGAAAAGATGAAAAAGATGAATTACGAGACTGATAATACGTGACAGGGAAAAGCAAACT